TAACTTGTTAAAATAAAAATGTATTTTTTAAACATGTTTTAATTGATATACGATTATGTATATTAATTTGATAAATGTTTAAAATGAAACATTTAAAAGTAAATGACGTAAAGTAAATTAATTAACTAATTATAGGGGTATAAAATGTAAATTTAAAATTATAATTTTAAAAAGGGTGAGTGAATGTGATGGAGTGAGTGTATGTGAGGAGAGAAGGGGGTGAAAAAGTGATATAAATGGTATCTTGGTCATTTAGTATTTTAAGACTTTAAGACTTTTGTTAAATTTGCTTTATAAGATAGTATAGATACAAGTTACATTATTACCTCTTCTTTTAATGTTTTCAAGATACTTTTGATACCTTTCATTCATGCCTTCACCGTCTCATACCTCTATGTCTCTTCCCATCTCTAAGGTGAGATTGAAACTGATATTTACCATGAGTTATTAAAAGTTCTTCTATTCATTTTCCATTTAATTGCTCTAGAACTCTCGGCCTCACTCTCGATCTCTTGATTCTTCGCTCTTGGTGTAAAACGAACACATGTGTGGAGTCGTTTAAATATGTTGAATTTTAAATATATTGGATTTTAAACTGTCATACAATTTTTTCATTGATAAATTGTAATTGGAACCATAACTCTTATTTATTCAAATTATATTAATATGTAAAGACCAAATATAACTCACATCTTTGTTAAATCTTCGCTGGTGAAACTTTAAAATCATAGAGAGATGTTAATTTATGGGGGTGTTTGTGATTGCTTATAAAAACTGTTTTTTAACTTATTTCAATCTGACACCGATAATAAATTGTTTTCTGGTGTTTAGATAAGAAAAAAAACTGCTTATACCAGTGACAAACCAATAATAAGCTGTTTTTGATAAGTTAATTTTTCATGACTTATCAAAAACTGTTTATTACCAATTTATAATTTTAACCCTATTTTATTTATCTCCAATTTAATATCACATATAAGTTAATAATAACTTAAAAAAAAAAATCACTTGTTTTAAATAAGCAATCCCAAACAACGTGTATCAAACAGCTCGTAAGTTATTTTATAATATCAAAATCATATCGTAGAGATTGAAGATGGCATAAACCTTAGCAAACCCCCCACCCCAGTCCCAACTGCAGTAGCATCATCTGATACAATGGCTCCTTCTCGCCGATCTTCAAATTTCATGCCGATTTACGGTTAATAATTCTTCAATTTTCCATTCTTTTTGCATTTAGTACGTTCATCAGTGTTTGTGCTTTTTTATCGTGGCCAATTAGTGAGATTTGAAGTTTTGAGTGATTTAGGTTATGACGTGCTTCTCGGGTCGATTGCTGCGGTTTACGTGTTTATGGCACCATTTACGAAAGTTGAAGAAAGCTTCAATATTCAGGTACGTTTAAGATTTCATCTGGATTTTACTCGATGAAAATAGTTCCCAACTTGGATATTTAAATGATTAAATCTGTTGTAAATTCAAAAGAAAAATTAACAGTAACAAACCGTCAAACAAGAATCTTTTAGTTGCATAGGAATTATGTTGCTTTTTAATTCCAATTCGGATACGAATTCTGCCTTTAGAAAATTGTTGCTTACTACATGAAGATTTTAACAAGCAGCGGAAGCAGAATAATGTTGGTGCTGAATTTCCAAGAGGGTCAAAATATTTTGTGTGAAAAGAGACCCAAACGTAGCTCTGTCTTTTTCCCAGAATAGTGGGAGTATGGCAATCTATGTACTTGACATGAAAGAAAGATAATGCATATGGAAATTGACATGTCAAAGGGGAAATCTTTTCGTCTTAGAAGTTGATATAATTACTTTTCAAGTTTCATGATGATTTGAAGTAATGATAGCAAGTATGTTCTTAAATTGTTGAAACCATTTGAAATAAGTTTCAAGTTTAGAAGTCCGAGATTTGATGAACAAAAGCTACCTCCACACCACTTTTGAACCATGGGAGTGAAAGGTAATAGTGATAGTTTAATTTTGTTTAGATCAAATTTAAATCAAATATTCACTGCATTGAGAGGGGGTAGATCAGGTACTCTCTGATGCCTATATCTGTAATGGTAACCTTGAAATTTTTTTAGTTTTTTTCCTTTATCCATCATTAACGTTGAACCTTTCGAGTTAGTCAATGTCTTTGTCATTCGATTATATTGTTGTAGATCCTTCCTAGGGAGTATTTATATATTGAAACAAGTAAGTTACAGCACTAGATCAATACATCATCTTAATATTTTCTATTTCATTTAACAGTGTCCTATTTGTTTCATTAGGGTCTTAGTGCTATCAGATGAAGTTTCATTAAAGTAACTTGTTCTCCATACTGCACCTTGTGTTGTTATCTTGCATTGGAACTTTGACTATGGTCTTCTTGTCATTCAGTTCTTCTGAACTCATAAGCTTCCTTTTGTGGTGATGATTTCCTTCCTACTATGTTAATAATTTTTGAAGGAATTCCACCGTATTCAGCATCCTAACCTGTGATTTCGAATTGAACTGATAATTTTTTAGCATCTGGTTTACTCAGGCTTTGCACGATATCTTGTATCATCGGCATCACATAGAAAATGTAAGTACTGGTCTTTTTCTACTTGTTTCAGCGGTCCAGAATAGGTTAAGTATATCTTAATGTCATGAGGTACTTTGTTTACCTTCCGGAGTTAAAGGTACATTATAAGTCTCTAATGGTTTTGTCAAATGGTGGCTACATGACAGTATGACCATTTGGAGTTTCCTGGGGTTGTTCCTCGCACCTTTATTGGTAAGCTCTTTTACTTTAAGATTTGTAGTATTTTGCTTCTCCTATACTATAGGATATTCTCATAAAGTTTGGGTTTCTTGCTACAGTTGGCATCAATTTAGGTGATACGGGGTCATAATAAATAGGGGTTTCTTTGAGTGGCAGCAAGAATTCTTGCTATTTTCTTGAGTAGCTATTTTATCTAAATTTCAACCAACTATCTAATATATGTCTGTAACTTTGCCCTCATGAAATTATAAGTTTTATCATTACTCTCAACCACATGACACTTCATAATGGCATCACTTATCGGGAAAAAGGTATTTGCTAAGTGATTTGATCTTCGCGAAAAGAGTTCAACATAATTGAAAGTGTAGGGTCACCATTCCTGGTAGCAGAGGGCTGTAATACCTGCTGATTGAGTAGGGTCTTACCTTTGTCAAAGCCATTTTGCATGTCCTTTCAGCCTTTGGGTTCTTCAAATTTATTTATTTGTCATGGATGCTACGTTAACTTTCAGATCCCAATCAGCTTGTGTACATGATCACCTCAATTTGGTGTGATTCAGAACTATACATTGGAAAATAAAGAAAAATTACTGACTTGCTAGTTGCTATTGGTAATTAGAAAATTGCAAATTCACTACCACTATAGGTTAACAAATAATAAGTATAAAAAGTTATATTTAGAGCAGAAATCGATTTTTGCTTACTTGTGCATTGAAAGACTGTTTTCAGAACCACAAGGGTTGTGGCTTAGTGGTTGAGGCCATGGAGGATGTGGTGGAATATCCCATCTGCCCAGGTTCGGTTCCAGGCGTACACAACAATTGTGGCCACTGAGTTTACCCGAGCTGATTTCTTGCAGTCACAATTTGCTGGGATTAGTCCAGGCATAGCCTGGGACATCCTTCAAAAAAAAAAAAGACTGTGTTCAGCTGAGCCTTGTGACTTTTGGCATATACTAAAGTTGCTCATGTTTGCCTTTGAAGATGTGAATCTTCTGCAGGCAAGAATGTACTCTTTCATCAAACTGTTTTGCCGATGTGATTTGTGTATTCAGAGATCAGAACTGCCAGATGCTCTTTCTTTATGTGGCAGACTTTCATATAATATAGAACATCGTTTGGAAAACTGAAACTGTTCTTCATCCCATGTTATTTCTTGACAGGTGCGTTGCTAGTATCCATTTTAGCATCTCCAATGGTCGTAGCTATCAATTTGCTGCATTTGTCAAAGATTTATAGTCTTATAGCAGGTTAGTTCATCACACCTAATTGGAATTGTTTATAAGGGATACACTTGAATTCGTTAAGAGCATACTTTATATTTTAGCGTTAGTAGTGTTAACTTCACTTGTCCAATACAAAGTTCTTTCTCTGAAATTGTTTGTATTGTTCCGTCCAGTACGTTTGGCTCTAGGATTCTTCATCTTGGCAACTCTTCGATTTTTACGTGTTCAGGTATTAATGTTTTTCTTTTTATTCTTCAAAAGTCCTTTGGCAGATTAAATCATCCATTCTTCTATCTCTTATCTTATTAGGGTGTTTGGTTATAGAAGGAAACGTTTGGGTAATGATAAGAGACTACATATGAGGAAGAAAAGATGCCTAGAAAGGACAAGTTACATGAAAATTTAGAGAGATGATATATATTCCCAAAAAGATCAATAAAACATAGCGGGCACACCATATTGTTAATTGTTTTTCAGTTACAATTTCCAAAATCTTCTTTCTTATGTTAACACATTCTACCAAGCCTTAGAATGCTTTCTTATCATGCTCGTACTAGGGAGAACAGAAAAAGGTCTACTTTACAACTAACCCCTGATCCAACAATTATTGTTGCAGCCACCTCCTCATAATACTGGAGGTGGATCTGACCCCAATTCCAATTGTTAACCCATGACTCTGGCAATTGAAGCTGCCCAATCTTATCATTAGTTGTAGATTCAATGGAAGGAAATCATATAACTTAGATGTTGCTCTTGTAGGTATAATTTGGTTGAGTTGCATCTTCAATGGAATTAATTTTTGTTCTTACCTTCTCCTGCGAGCAATTATAATAGGATCTCATATCCCCCAAAAAGTAGTTTTTTTTTTTTTTTTATTAACCTGGATATCCAACCCGCTATGCGAGCCGACTAATCCCAGGGCGACCACCTGCTTTGCAGATAGCCCGGAGTCACCGCATTTGAATCTCCGTGGCCACAAGGGGATTTTTATTCCTCATTGGATTTGAACCTGGGACCTCCTGGTATTTTTGACCTTTGGAGCCAAAAAGTAGTTCTTTACGATATGTGAAGTAGCAATAGGTAATAAACGGTGCACACCGCACAGGTTGTCATAATACCTGGTCACTGGGATGAGAGGTGTCAGTTCTTATTGTTCTCCAGATGCTCAGATTTAGCCAAAGACATTCTGATCCCATGCTACTGTTCTACGGTAGAATAATTTACATTTTTCATTACGTATTGTCTCTCGAGGGAAAAAAGTTGCTTATTTATGCACTCAGAAAGAACACAAGGTTTGCATGACTCTGAGTTCTTCCCGTAACAATGCTCTTCCTTGAATTCAGTGTCATTGTTGGAGGAAAGAGATGGATGTTTAACTTCCTCCAATGTTTACCTTAAACGATAAAACCTGCAGTATTGGGCCTTGATTTGATTAGATTGATAGATAGGCTTGGATAAGGTGCAAGCCTAGAAGAATCCTTTGATTCCACAATTGTAATCACAACAAATGTGTCTGCGCCAATAATCATGTAAGTCCGTAAAGAGTATGGGCTTGTTCACCGAAAGAGAACCTTTTGTATCCTCACGAAATAGTGTAACACCCTAGTTTCTTTATTAGATAAATCTCAATATTTCAGCCTTAAATGCAAATATTTATGAATAATTCAAGTACTCCAGCAGCTGTTACAACTAGTGAAACATCTTAATTATAAGACCAAGCAAACTAGTGATGAGTTGTTAAGGCTATAAGTGTGTTGGCAAGTCTAGTGAGCATGACTAAGCAAGCTAGTGATTTGTTGTTAAGGCTAGAAGTGTGTTGGCAAGTCTAGTAAGCATGACTAAGCAAGCTAGTGATGAGTTGTTAAAGGCTAGAAGTGTGTTGGCAAGTCTAGTAAGCATGACTAAGCAAGCTAGTGATGAGTTGTTAAGGCTAGAAGTGTGTTGGCAAGTCTAGTAAGTATGAATAGACAAGCTAGTGATGAGTTGTTTAGGCTAGAAAATATGAGTTGGCAAGACTATTGATTACAAGACAAGTCTAGGAAGCATGACAAGGAGTACTAGAAGCATGAGTTGTATAGATTCTGTTATCCTTAGAGATGAGTTGTCAAGATTCTCTTATCTTTATTGATGAGGTGTCAAACTCTCATAAGAGTACGATCTTGAGAGCAAAAAAGAACAAGTAGTTAATGCAATGAATTTATCTATAAATAGGGATTTAAGGGTCGCTATTTATGCATACCAAAAATAAGAAATCTCTCTATATATACATAATTAAGCTTGAAGAAAGGAATCAAAGGAAAAAGTAGGCAAATCAAGGTGAGTACTTAAGTGTTTTGTGAGATACATGCATGCTATATATAAAAGTAATTTATGCATTACAAGTTATGTTGGCATGCTTTGTTTTACATGAAAATATTGATACACATACATATTCAAGATATGCATGATGACATGTTCTTATACAAGTATACACACAAGACATAAAAATCATTTACATGTTATCATATGTGTTACACAAGGCATGGAATTTTTTACATGTTATGTTTAACCATAATATCCAACGTACGGGATATTACAAGAAGGGACATATTGCAAACGGACCTTAGAGGGCAGCCCTTTTATGGACGCGGGGGTTAGCAAACCTGAAGACAAGTATGGTATACGTGCTTGTGACAAGTGAGATCTCAAAAGAATGTTTTATGCATGATAAAGAATAGTACTTTATGAATGCTTATGCATGAAAATAAAGAATATTTTTATGCATGATCAAGAGCTTTAATGAACTATCATTCACAAAATATCATGAAAATTTCTCATTCATGAAACCATAAATACTCACTAAGCTTATAGCTTATATATCTCATGTATGTATCTCAGGAAAGAAGTAAGGAGGATTTGCATAAAGTAATATGGTTTTAGTTGAAAAGCAAGTTTTGTTGTAATACAAGCTATGATTACGTTTCCACTAAGTAATTTCTTTATGATGTAATTTCAAGATATGTTATAAATAAAGCTAAATTTCAAGTTCAGATTCTAGATTTAATAGTTTTATCATGTAAAGTAACGGCACCCAATATATAAGGACGTGGGGCGTTACAAATAGACACCAGACAAGTTCGTAGAGATTATCTTATGGAGTTATCTATAAACTCCCTTGTAGGAATCTATACATAAATAATCACTACATGCCACTCCTGATGGTGAAAGATGTTAAATGGAATTAATATCCTCATCTTGTTGTAGTGGCAGGTTATGTGTTAGCACTGACTTATAGGAAGCTTAAGGATGATGACTTTCAAATTTAAGGTTCGTGAATACATGAGCTAGTTTTATTCTGTTTGTGGACTATGAATGGCTACCTAGCACTGACTTATAGGAAGCTTAAGGACGATGACTTTCAAATTTAAGGTTCTTGAATACATGAGCTAGGTTAATTCTGTTTGTGGACTATGAATGGCTACCTAGATTAATTTATTATCCTGCTAGTAGACAATAATTGCCTGCCTAAAGTACGACCTGCCTAGATGATATGCAGGTAGCTTTTTCTATGTGTACATATTTGTTTGACATGGAAGTTGATGTAAAATTATTATTATCTTTGAGCAGATCAGAAATAAGTTTGGCCTGCAAGTTGAAGCTTTCTTTATGATACTGGTAGCAATTCAGTTTCATATGCTGTTCTACTGCACACGCCCTCTTCCTAATATACTGGCATTGGGTTTAGGTGAATAAACTTGACCCTCTATGGCATGAATAGATACCTTTTTGCATATGCTGTTCTAAGCTTTGGGGATTTTTATTTTTTCAATTATGCATATGATCTATTTTTCTTTATGCTATCAAAATCTGAAAATTGAAGAAGTGTTCAAGGAAACTTATGTGTATGGAGTGAAACGGAAGTGGCCATGCCTAAGCTGAAATATCTGTTCCAAGTTGTAGGATTATTGAGACTCAAAAGGCTTAGAAAGACTTTGGGAATATTGCACTACATTAATAAGTTCAATTCATATGGGATTGGAAACATAGAGGTAAGTGTGATTATTTATAATCAAAACCAATTGAACAGAAATTTTGGGAAACAGTGTTCCACTTGTCATAATGGTTCAGGCTATAATGCAATGATATGATGTTTTAAGAGACCTGGATGGTGGCCTAGATGCTTTTGTAGCGCTATTATGTTTGCTGCTTTTATGTGAACCACATGAACACTGGCTTATGGGCATATGCTCATCAAATCTATACCTTTTTTCTTCCTCATATTTTGGATCCTCAATCTCTATAGTTTTTTTCTTCAAATATTTGGTCCATATTTTATCATATAATTCTAACAAGCATTTTTTCTTGACTATGTAGTAAATTTATCATATGGCTACTGGTTGAAGGGGAGCTTTTATGCCACATTAAGATGCCTGGTATGCTCTTCAAAACTGTAATAATTTGTATTATCGAATTTCAAAGTTTGGTTCTGTCAGATTGTACTGCTGGTCTTTTTGAAAGATGGGCTGTTTATGGACACATTTTCAGACTACAAGTTTGATAGTCTGTATAACAGCATATTGAATTTTCAGTTATTAGCATTCTTACCTTGTTGATAAGATACGCTGTTTCTGACACAAGAAAAGCTACAACCTAGTATAAATTTGGTATACCGTTGAGAAACTGAGGTGAGCAAAGTGGCTGTTAACTGATTACTTAATGAACATATCATTTATGATAAGTAAAAAATACCTTGTTCTTCTCGAGCATGCTATTCTTCACATAAAATTCTAAGAGGCGGCAATGCACGATTCGGCTTTATACTAAGAGTGGGATCCCAGTTAAGACTCTTTAATGCCCCTTTGGGTCAGTTTTGTTATCGTAAAACTGTGGAGTGAGCAAACAACTAAACAATGTCACTCCTCACATGCTATGAAGATAATTTCGAAATTTATTAGCAGAGCCGATAAGCTTTGCTGGCATACAAAGAAGGATCATCTTGACTCTAGGCTACATGGTGCATATACCTTGCCAGTGTAGTTTCTGCATATTCTACTTCGTATTTGGTGAAATCCAGTAAAATTTTAATATCTTATTGTAGAAGGATTTTATAACACACTGTTCTATGTCTGGGTGCTATGCTTCCTGTGTCTTATGTAAAACACATTTTTCACTGTCATGAATGAAGTTCTCAGAATGAAAGAAATATTTTTCCTGGCAAGCCGAACTGACACAATAACAACGATAAGCCTTTTAACTAACTAGTTGCAAGAAAAACTGAAGTTATTGAATTTGTAGTTGATATGAAGTGAAAACAAAAGAATAACAAGGTGCGCTGCTGACCAAGTGGAGAATAACTGTGAAACGATGATTTGTTTATATATGAACAACAGAAAATTCCTGATGTTCCTTAAGCATGATTTTGAGAGCACCAAAATTGGCAATATGACCTGGTGGAGGGGAAGGGTAATAAATTCAAATTAGATTATTATAATCGGCTTGTCACCATTCAACTTCATGTACTGACCAGGAGTTGGTTTCTTTGTTGTTCTGGAAGCAAAGGCTAGTTCAGAATATTCTACAATACTTTCAGTTTTGTAATTACATATTACACTAGACCCTGTTATCTATTGAATTAGGATTATAACTTTTTTGCATTTAGGATTATATCTAGAAGCTAAATGAGCTGGACATGAACTAGTTGGCAATTATGATAAGAATTTAAAGAAGCTGATACTGTTATAAGATTTAGAGAAAGGGCCACTTCTTATTTCTTGTTTACCAACTGAGGTTCATGAATTACATTTACATAGCCGATTACAAATATTTTTGGAGCTTATACTTTGCAAAAGCAAGTACTATTGGTCCCTAATGAAGTCCTATAAGATAGTTGTGTGCTACCACCTTGGTTGTTCATTTTATATGGTCTTTCATCAAGAAGCTTCTAGTTTGTGCTTAGGCCTTAAAGCTTGATAAAATGATAGGGGTGATGATTACTTGTAATTATTTCTAACAGTATATTAAATTGTGACAAGTTTGTGTAACATTTCTTTCTCTACATCTCTGTTTCTCTCTCTCATCATTTCTTATGTGAAGTTCAGATTTTTGCTACCATTGTCTTTAGATGTGATATGCTGCTGCTCCTTTGTCCTCTTGGCCTGGAACTTTTGCTGGTATGTCTTCTTATTGTCATTGAATTGTTTGTCCTCCCTTATCAGTATCTCACATGTGTATGTTTCTTGACATGTTTTTACCTTACTGTTAATTTTGTTTATCAATCGTAGACAAAATCAATTTCCTTGTGGGAAGCCATAAAATGCTGTGCTGGAGCTGCACTATTCAGCATAGGTCTGTATTACAAATCCAGATATATTTTTAGTTTCATCCATAAGGCCAAGCAATAAACGATGCGATTTCAATTAATATAATAGATCATATCTTCATCTACATTCTTCTTTTACAGGTCTTACTATCATAGTTGATTCAATAATGTGGCAGAAACTGGTATGGCCTGAATTTGAAGTCTTTTGGTTTAACTCTGTCTTGAATCGGAGTTCAGAGTGGGGTGTATCCTTTGTTTCAGGAATAATTAATTACTTGGATGACTTTTCAGTGTATATTTGTATGTGTTCCATTTCTCTTTGTATCATACTCCCGCATGCAAGCACAACAGTTTCGTCTTTTTCCCAAAATAAATGCATCATATTTGTTTTAGTAACTTCTATACAACTGAAATGACCTATTTACCCTCATACTTCAATCACTACAAAGATATTAAATGTGATGTACATGTTGGTATTTTGAAAATTTTAATCCTATGGAAGAGCCAGCCAATTTGATGTTCTTCCCTTTGATGGATGCATACAAGTCAAGTGCAAACTTCACTTGTATGGGCACTTCAAGAACTTACCTAGCAGTCATGCACCATTCTTAACATTTGCAGATTGTCATTTTTTGTGCCTTTATTTAAGAGAGTAATTTAGCCTATTAATTATCATCTTTGTTATTTGTGTGTGCGGGTTTTTGGGGGGGGGGGGGTGAATCATATTCTTCTACCGTACTTCATTAAGTGAAAAGGTTCTTGGACATCAGAGTTCCTTCTATTTTACTTCTTTTTTTCTTGCACAATTTTCTTTTCAAAGCAAGAAATCTGCTTCAAATGCTGGTTATTCCCCTGTTTCCTCTGCTGTTTTCTTTGTTTTGGCATGTTTTTTATGGCACTTGGACTTCCCCAGGTTAGATTTCTTCCTAAAGAGGTTTTTTATTAAGAAATTTTTGTGGAGCTTCTTATATATTAATGTACCTTTTCCATAACATATGTTGCCTAGACGCATCCATTTTACTGGTACTTTACTTCTGCTTTGCCTCGCTCGTTGCTGGTTGCATATCCTCTCTTTATGGTAAGTTTGGTAATTGATTAGGAAATAGAGCAGGATTTTTGGTTTATATTTACATGGGTTCTCTTCTCCTCCTCCTCCTCTCTCTCTCTCTCTCTCTCTCTCTCTCTACACACACACATCTATAGGTTGATTCCTTTAATGCTGTAGATGCTTCATAAAATCATTGCCTTCGTAATTGTTCACATTGTTTCTAGCACCAATTGATTTTTTACTATGTAAGAGATATAATCCTTACTGAAGCAGGACCTCTATAGCATGCTGGCTGTGCATACCAATTGTTGTCATTGGGGACCAGGGTGTATTTTTAGCTTGTCATGACGATCCTAAGGATCGATGTACTTGCTGAAACTGGTTGTAAGCTTATCTGAGAAGTATCTAAAACAAAAAGATTCACACAAACCAAATTTGAAGAGATCTGTTGGAATTTTGAAGTTGTGCTATTGCACATAATGTAGTGTTTTTGTCAAGATTTTGGGCCTTGGCAGACGATGTGCTAATAAATTACATTACTTTAAGTTGGCAGTTCTTTTTATTTGCGGCTTGATTGTATCAGTAGAAGGTAGTTTCGTGGACTATTGAGAGCTGCCAAATGCCAAATGGGACAAACAAAGCAATTGCTGGGAAACTTGGTTGATAAAATTCATTTGGAACTTATCATGCATTACTGCTATCCAACTTCATATACCATTATATACTGCTACTTGTTGACTTAAAATGACTTGATTGTTGCAGCTTGGGGTTATACTTGATAGAAGAATTGCGTTCTACGTCCTTCCAGTTCTCTCATTTGTTGTACTTTACTCCAAGCTTCCTCACAAGGTATCTTATATATACATTAAATCTCTGTGGTTAACTTGATGAATGCTTCTTAGGGACATACTCATCTCCACATTTAACAATTTTTCAGGAGCTCCGATTCATAATCAGTTCTGTTCCAATCTTCAATTTATCAGCAGCAGTTGCAGCTAGTCGCATGTATGTGGCTTCTCTCTATGTTAATCAGTATCTAGGATCTCTACATTAAGGGCACATTTTATTTCTCTAGCCTTATACATAATGATCTAGGGGGCCATCATTGATTCATAATATAATACTGTTGTAATGTTTATTTGTTACTCCCGACTTCACTTTGCATCCATCTGCTACATTTGTGAAAACCAAAACTTTTAATATAGTCCCTATAGATGGACTAAATACTGGAGGCGGTAGATTGCATAAGGTGATGCAAAGTATATGTGTAAGGTTATATGGGTGTTGGAGTTGAGAAGGATCTAAACAATGGAAGATTAGTATGACAAATATGACTAGGAACGGAAGGTGCTAAGGCACATAAGTTTGGAAGCAGGGTGCTTCTATTTTTGTTGAATTCCCATATTAGGTGCTTTGGGGGTGCAGTTCTTCAGGATGCGGTGGGGTGTGCAGTAACACTGCAGTAACCATGTCCTTGAATTATTGACCATTTGAAATATGAGTACCTTTATGTTTTCTAGTATCATGGCCAAAGTGAACACAAGGATATACAAAGATGGGGATAGAGGAGGAAATTTGGTTTTCTTTTACCAAAATAAGATGAAAATTTACGATTTCAAAAATTAGAAACATAGGCTAAAATCCAAAATGACTTAATTTTTCAAGTGTGAAAGACGAGAAGCAAGACGGCGTAACAAGTTACCTTTTCTGACAGTTTGGGCTAACATGGACTCGCTAACTGAAAGTAACATCATGATCCAGTGATCTTTAGCCTGATGGTATTAGTGGATATCAACTCTTTGGTTGTGAGCTCAAGTCTTCTTTTATATGAGAAAAGTAACAACATGAACTTAGGTTTTAGTGTGTATTTATCTTACATAATGGATGCATAAATGATGAAATAATATTGTTTGTATACTAATTGATTTTTAGTTTTGTATTTATAGACACATGTATAAGCCCACCTTCATACCTTTAAGTTTTTGAATCGCTGAATATCGGTCTAGGTATCGTATATACTCTTATAAGCCTCTTGAAACCATTTTCTTGTTATTTTTTCATTATTTATCTTTCTTATCAAATAATATGAATATGAATATGTTCATTCATGGATTTACTGATTTTCTTAATCACATTTGGTAGCTTTGGTGTCAACTCGCTTTTGTTGCACCATATAAGCTCACGGAAACGAAAAGAAACAAGATAAGAAAGAAGGAATATAAACAAGAGAAAGTACGAGAGTTCTTACTTGTATTTAATCCTTGAGAGATACAAACTTGGATGGTTTGACCAAATAAGGCCTCTCTTATTTATAGGCAACCATCTTCCTAATAGATGGTGGTGATCAATACAATCCGACAGAATTGTAACCGGCGGATTGAGCTGATCTCCACCGTCTACTAGAGAAGTGGTTGCCTATACTTCTTGTTTTTCTTGTCATGCATTCATATATGTATTTGATCTCTAATACTAGGTTCTGTTCTTGTGCAATAACACCTTAAGGTAGCATTCGGTACGCAAACATGATGGACAAGACATAATTTGACAAGACAAGAGGGTAGGACTGGACAGGATTGGAAGGGATAGGACTGGACAAAACAAGTGTATGTCTATTGTTTGGTACGACTAGGACTCGACATGACGGAATTAGACAAGTTGCCCCCAAAAGTTATTTGATGATTTTATGTCATACAATAGTTATAATTAACACAAATAAAGTAAATAATTTAATTTATAAACATTTTTACACAATTTTCTTATACATAAATACATACATATATAATGCTATATAATAGTTCCAAATCTGAGTGAAAAATTTGATATAATCGATGGTAATTTGAAAAAATTCGATTCGTACAAAGAAGAAATTATGTTTTATTCGGTTTGGAAGATCATTATCAATTGGCGAAGGTGGTGGTGGTCAATGGTACTAATGGTGGTGGTGGTGGAAGGTGGTCGTCAGTGGCCGACGGTGGTTGTGGAGGACATGGAGATGGTAGATAGTGGTAGTGGTAGCGGGTGGTGGTGGACAGTGGTGGTGTTAGCCGATCGTGGTGGTTATGGTGGAGGTGCGGTGGCCCATGGTGGTAATTGTGGTTGTCGGTGGCCGACGGTGGTTGTGGAGGTAATGGAAGAGGTTGTTGTAATAGAGGAGGTGGAGGTGGCCAATGGTGGTAGTGATGGTGGCGATGGACGGTGGTGGCCGGTGGCCGACAGTGGTTGTGGAGGTGGCGGTGGACGATGGTGGTCTGTGGTTGTAAAGGTGGTGGAGGAGGTTGTTGTAGTGGAGGAGGTGGTTAAGGTGACCGACGGTGGCTACTGTTGGTGGCAGCTGCCTCAACTAGCGGTGGTGACCACTAAAACAAATACCATATTAAGGTTATATATCAAACTAGGGTTAACTAGTAATATTTTAGTTTCTGTCTTATTTTTGTCCCATCTTGTTCCACCTATTTTGGTGGAACAAGAAAAAGCCTTTTTTGTCCCACCTTGTCCCAGTTCTTGTCCCTATCCCATGTCACACCAAACATGGGATAGTGAGTTCTTGTCGTGTCCCAACTCCCATGTTGCACCAAACGTGGGACAGCGAGTTTTGTCCCGTCTTGTCCTGTCCCATCCGTGTACCAAACACAGCCTAAAGGTTTAACAAATGACGACAAACTGCTCTTGTATTCTCTTTCTTTCTTTCTTCTCTTTTTGTTTCATTTCCTTTTAGAATGTTGCTGACATTGCAAGACCTTTTTGAAGTGGTTCTTAATTTTTATTAGATCAAGTCATCAATGTTTCTGGAGGTCCTAATACCATCTTTTTCTACAGTTACAACAATAGAAAGAAGAGTTTCTGGAATCTGCTTTATGTAGTTCTTCTGGGTTCACTTGTGATCAGGTTGAAAGATGATACTTTTGATTTCTCTATTGAAAATGCAGAGTTGTTTCCCATCTCAATATTCATATTATAATTTGTGTAGTTTAGGATGCACTGCCGTCACTTTCATGGCGTCATATGAGAACTACCCTAGTGGCTATGCTCTAAAGTCTTTGCACAGAGTAGGTAATCTCTCTCTCTCTCTAAGCAGACAGCTAACATATATAAATGTCTTAAAGTGGCTACAAGTTGCAGTCTTTTATTAAATTTGGTGCTTGTTTTCAACACAATTGCAACCCATTGAAACCATGAATTCCTTCACCAGGATGGACAATGTTATTGTGCAAAGTTGAAACTTGTTCCATATAGTATCAGCGATATCTGTGAGGCGAATGAGTTTTGCATAAGAAATTCTAGATTGTAATTCATGGTGTTGTTCAGCTAGCATCTATCAGTTATCTTCTGTTATGGTGAGAATAGATGTACTCTACTACTATGTAGTTTACAGCCAAAGATTACAGTTTTGAAATAAAAAATCCCTAGTGATTCTAAACTAAAAATAATTGTAGATTTGTTGATGTGTTATCTAATTCTATGGATTACATATTTACCATTTACATCAATTTATATGTATAACACCTTACTGAACCATGAAGAAACATGCATTGCCTTCAACTAATTTACATTTGATTCATCTGTCTGGATAACATCCAAATACCAGTCAATCTTTAAATCATTGTTAAACTAAGGCTTTATGCTGTTCTTTCTCTTTGTTACATTTGATATATGCTATGGCATTTTAAATATTTATTGCATAGAACTATTTAAAAATCTTCGTCCATGCCAAAATGACAAAAAACACAGCCAGCAGACTGTGGGTTCTGTCTTTGTGAGCATTTGTCATATGCATATGTAGTAAAATTAGAAAATCAGATCTTAAATAACCATTACGTGAAATTATCTGATAGGCCATACGGAAAACACTACCAGTGAATCGTGGGTTCATATTGATACCTTCTCAGCGATGAACGGAATTTCCCGGTTTTGTCAGAGTGACAACCAATGGAGGTATGTTTGATACTGATCACAATGGCTTTTATTTTTCTCAATGCAATAAAGTTACTTATTAGTTTCACTGAGTTAGAACTTAAATGCAACAATGTACACTCTATATGGCCTTTCTTTTACCATGGTTATAATTGGTGTAATTAATTAGTGTAGCAAATGTAAATTAGACACGTGGCAAGCATCAAACCCCCCCCCCCCCCCCCCTAACACACACAATAAAAACACAAAATCTAAAGTTTGTTCCTTCACTAGTTCTACTTATTACATCATCTCCAAATGCAAATATAAACATGCAAGCCTATAGAGATATATCCTAACACACACACACATATATGTATATATGTGCATTTGTGTGTATGTAGTGATATTTGGGGTATCTCTCACTTGCTTCTTAAAATTTGTTGATAATTTATCTAAACAGAACTAATCGGGTCATTAATCAGATTATGTTTACTGATTCAGGTACTCTAAAGAGGAAGGCATACCATTGGAAGAACTTTGGCATCGAAACTTTACCTATCTTTTGAAGTGAGTGATCAATTATTATTCTACTACTACTTTCTGAAGAATGTGATGCATGCTAAATGGTGTTTCTTCTCATTCTTCTTTACGAACCTCATGACCATTTGCTTACTATAAAATTTAAACCCACATATTCCATACACTTGCAACTTTGATCATATATCTACATCATCAGACTTAATTGTTTTTTAGGAGAATAACCTTCTGACAGATTTTTTAAATGCATGACCTTCAGACAAATTTTGAGGCATTCATCTGTTAGATGGATGTGTTCTTAAATCTGTCTGACATGAATGCATTTAAAAAAATGTCACAAGTCTATTCTTCTATATAACCCATTAATTTTGTGTAACACAACATAGTAGTGTGGATTCCTTAGGGGCCTTTTACCAAACGTTTACTAGGTAAGTGCTTACAGGCAAGAGACATCACCCTTACTTACCTTATTGTGTAACATTCTTAGCCATAAAAATGGATTGTTGGTAAATGTCTTAAACCCGGTAAGCGCTTATTGGGTAAGAGCCTTTTCCCTCACTTAGGGGCTGTTTACTAAGCACTTACCTTGGTAAGCGCTTATCGGTTCAATTACCTTACCGGGTGAAGATAATAAGGACCGAAAATCTTACTTGGTAAGAGGTAAGACAAGGATTGAGAGTCTTGCCCGTTAAGTGATGGTGATTACTCTTGCCCTGTAAGTGTTTGTCGGGTTATAAAAGCTTATCATCAATCCATTTTGATGGCATGAAATGTTACCACATACGGTAAGTGAGAGTAGTGACTCTTGTTGGTAAGCGCTTACCCAGTAAGCGTTTGGTAAAGGGCCCCTAACTGGGTAAACTCCTGGTCCTTGCTATGCCTCTTATCGGGTAAGATTCTCGGTCTTTGTGATGATCAATCGGTAAGTGATATCGGTAAGTGTTTAGTAAATAGCCTCTAGTCTATCACATGAACTTTGCAATAATTTCAATTCCAGCTGTTCCATGCCAATTGCAACATCTCATTGCATTGAAAAAACGAGTTAAAATCACCGATTTGTCCATTGTTGTCACTACAAATTACTGATCATTTATTTCGGTCTACAAGATTGCCAAATTTGATCATTATTAAATGGAATTTTTTACTAACCCATGTTTCCATTTCGGAAATCTCTAAATCTCTCTCATAGTGAACACTCGAGCGTCAAGGGATTCAAGTGCTTGTTTCAGGTAGACGGGTTTTCCAGGATCCGTCTTTGGGTTGGTTTCCCACCAATTTCAATGGTATGAATATGCGACATCAATTTTCACACGTTTTTTTACTTTCCGGAATATGTTTACGAAACGTGCCGGGTTAATTTACGTATTTTTCGGCAGGTAAAAGAGCCCAAAGTCTACATACTTGGGAATATTAAAAACACAGATATCATACAAAGAAGTTGGCCAGGTTGCTCATGATTTCCTCCACCCAAAGAAATGTAACTTTGTGTAAGATTTTGTAAATCAATCATTTGGTCTCCTAACTTATTAAACCTCATGCATTTTACATGTGGATTTCTAGGGTTTTGAGTTCCATAATTCTGTTGTCGAAAGCTGCAAAATCGATCATCGAGGGTTGTTTTTATTCGCATTTTTTTGAGATTTTAATGTGTTATTTAGAATCTTTTAATTTGCTTATGTTAAATAAGTTTTTTGGATTAGAGATCATGCATTTTTATTCACTTTAGTTGAATCTTATATTTGGATATTTGTCTGATATATAATTACTAGTTGATCGGCCCTAGGCGTGGAAGACGAAGCTTTATTGTTCCTGGAGGTTTATGATCGGGCCAACAAGGGACGTAACACTTAAACGCTCATAACATTTGCTATTGATCTCCATTTTGAGCTCACTATATCCGATCTTTTTAGGCCCAAAAACGTTGTTTAAACATGTTTTTTTAGACATATTTGTGTTTCTTGTTATATTTTTGAGACCTGTATTTACTCGCTTAAGGTGTAATCTAGATGGTCCATTGATCAATATAGAAATTTTAATTTTCATCCAGATTTTAATCCGAGTTCGAGCCTAGAGCTTGGTATTTGTTGAATCAACGAGCCTTCGGAAGGGATTCTTTTTAGGTATTCTCAAAATCAACTGGATTAATTTTCGGTTCGGTTAAGCTGAAACAATCTTCATGGCTCATGGAGCCATGGGTATGGTTCTCATGGTCATTTTGAAAGAAAAATAGAGAAATATAATGTCAATTACTACATGTTATGTGATTGAATATTTTGAAGATTATTTGATTGTCTTCAAACTCTAAAACAAGGAGATTCTATTTAAGGACTTGTAACAGAGTTTTTTTTATTGTATATAAATGTTATATACTGAAAAATTATAATAAAATAATGATAGATAATCTAACAATTCAGATGAATTTTAGGTTTTTCTGTATAAATATTATTATCAGTTGTATTTTATTTATTGAATATAAACGTTATATACTAAAGAATTATAATAAAATATCAGTGGATCATTTAAAGATGCACAAAAGCCCAAGTTCGAATACTCATCTGAATTTAAAAAAATGGTTTATGTACCCAATTCAATTCAGTGGGATCTTTGTGGGCGTAGAAAGCATGACCCTAGGCCCATGACAACTTTTAACTGAAAGCTCGATTAAGCCAAAAAAAAACCCAAAATAATCCTTCTGTAAAAGATTGATCGAACCTTCTTTCAACCTCAAAACCCGACCCGTAAAATCTTGACTTGAAAACAGGCCGATCGTCTTAAAAAACCAAAAGTATGGGAACTAATCTGAAAGCTTATAAACTTGAAGGGGTGTGGAAAGAATTCATTCGAAACAAAAGGACTAACTTTGACTAATTGTTCAAAATTACTCACAGGGATCAAAAGTTCAAAACACATACTCACACACACTCGCAAACCCACTCTTATCTTGGTTGCCACGACTTCTTCAAGATTTTGAAGCATCTCCTAAAACCCTAAACTGACCCAACAAATTTTTGAAAAAATGTTGCTCCACCCAACAATTTCCCAATCTCCACCACACCCACAATCCATTTCTCTATCATCATCTTCATCTTCATCATCTCTCTTTAATTCTCTCAATTTCCCATATGGGTTTCGGAGTTCACCCCTCAAAAAATCCCAATTTAATCCGTTCATCATCAAAAACCACTCTTCTTCTTCTTCCTCTTCATCATCTTCATTTTCGAAAGTGTACAGCTATGGCACTGTAGACTATGAGAAAAAGCCTGGAACGACGGTCGCTTGGAAAGCTATTTATAAGAGGATTTCAGTGATGGGTGATCCTGAAAAGGGAGCCACCGATGTGTTGAATCAATGGGAGAATGAAGGCAAAAAAGTTACCAAATGGGAGCTTTGTAGAATTGTGAAAGAAATGAGAAAGTATGGTCGTCACAAGCTTGCTCTGGAGGTATGTGTCGATTCAAAAATATACACTGTGAATATGTGTTTCATTGTTAATTTATCATGGATTTCTTGAATTTGCTTTTGATGACATTTTAATTTGGATTTTTGGGGGTTGAATCGTTGTTATGAAAGCTTGAATTGACTGAAATTTGATGCTTGTTTTGGTGTTCTTGATTGTCTCAACATTGAATTGGTACTATCTTGTTTTGAAGTAGGTCCAAGTTTGCTTTCTGTGAGTCAAAAATGGGTTGTTTTTTAAGGTTCAAAATTAATGAAATGGTGTTGTTTCAAGTAAAACATTTCATAACTATATTGAACTTCTAAAAGTGAAATTGTTCAAAATAGCCATATTTGAAATCCCCAATTCACTTTATAGCTGTTTTTCTACATAATTGATTGAAATTACCAAAATTTCGGAAGTAACACTTTAGCAAGTTGTGAAACCCACCTTCTATGAATATAACAATTAGCAATTTCGCAAGTTGCTAAGGTGCTACTTGCGAAATACTGGCATGGAAGTGCCGGTTTAAGTTGCATAAAATGGCACTTGCATGTCAACATTTCACTAGTAGCAATTTAGCAACATGCTAAAAGTAGATTTCGCAAGATGCTAAAGTGCTATTTGCGAAATTTGTGCTATTTTGATCAATTGAGTAAGCGAGTGAAACAGTTGTGGAAGGCTTTAGGGTTTTGAATGACACAGATAGTTTAGTGATGGCCGCACGTGATAATGCCACATTAGATAGAACAGAAGATCCCGGAGTTCTCTTTCTAAGTATATATGGTCTAGCTAGTTATCACTTCTCCCCCTATAGTTATAGGTTATAGTCCGAATACTCATAAGGTTTGGTCAAAAGTCTGAATTCAATATTCAAGTGGGCTCTTCCTCTTCAAGATTCTCACTTTCTTTTTTGTCGGGAGCACTCAAATTTTTCCGGACTCGATCAATAGCCTGTGGATTGGGCATATTCTTAAGGCATTTCGTTGCACTTAAATCACCCTCGTKAAGAGGCGCACTCTTATTTCGAAAAGCTAAGCCCATTCCTCCCTCAGAGCTGATGATTTACTTATTTTATTCCACCTATTTTGGCAATCAAGTCTTGTCCTAGTCTAATGTCACGCCAAACGTGGGACACCCTATACTTTCCCTTCTTGTTTTAGAGATTGGATAAAGAGTCTGGTGTTATTCTTTGCTTTATCGTAAGTTGTCAAAGAAGTATTTAAAGTTGTACCTAAAACTAAAAAATCCATCAATGTACTTGTAGCATGATCACCATAAAAAAAGTAGGCATGACTATAAACAGATTAAGAGAAATTAAAGTATAGCAAAAGAAAATATAAACATTCTAATGATTTAATCAAACTAATTTCATTGTTTGTCATCCTTGTCACCATCGCTAATGACAAATTTGACTTCTAAGTCTGTTCGTTAAGTGAAAAGGTTCAAAGAAATAGAATGTTGATAATTGGTATCTAGCATGCAGACATCATAAAAGCTTGGGTACGACACTCTTAACTCATTGTGCTTCATGGGTATCAACTAGAAATCGGTGGCCAATTTGGCAATATATTTTAGTAAATAAGTCTTTCTGTTTTTTGTTGTTTTAGAAATCATAGCAGCATAAGAAAGTTAAGAAACATGGAGATGTAATGCTTGTGGCATGTTTGTCTAACAATCTAGAAATAATCAAACATTTATAATATATATACATATATATATATGTATATATGAGTGAGGTTCGGAGGAAAACCCCCCAAAAAATGAAAGACAGAGGACCACCTTAATAGCCATTCATCTGTACGGCATGCACATGCATATGCAAGTAATCGAAATAGTTTCCTGGTTTCTATGCATGTGTGCTTGCTAAGAAATTTATCTCAGGACTGCAATTCGCTATTGCACCGCTATTGACTTTCCAGATTGGAGGTTTGACAGGTTATAGACATTCTGTGTCACAAAGATTGTCGTAGTATCTTTCCATGTAAACCCTAATTCCTTTGTCGAGGCTTTCTATTTCTACACAAATATTGAAATCCTGTTAATGGATGTGATTCTAAACATGCATATAAGTAACATACAAACCGTAATTTATGCATTCTTGTACCATAAAATACGATCACCACCAAATAGGAGAACTCTTTCCTAGTAACGCATGCCTATATTTGGTTGTTTTTTCATTGAGCCTTGTATGGAATAAGCTACATGTGTAGATTAAGTTAAATTGTTGCTTGTTTGTTGTGCTGAATAAACTGACCAAATGATGTAAATGACCAATTTACCCTTACCGTTTGTTTTTTGTTCTTTTTCAATCAAACTCATCTCTTTGTATTATGTATTATGTGATTCAACAACTCAATTTTCCACTGGTAAAGAACAATCCAATCAGTCCCACAATCCACTCTCTTTAGGCAGTAAACCCCCAAAAACGAGAAGAAAGCAGAGCTAGTTTCTTCAAAATTCAACCTATTAGCTAAACACAAAGAGTACAAAAACTGGACTTCCGATTGCAAGATTTACCACCCATTTCAGGGAAATCTTGGAATTTGTCTTAACTATGATCTAGTTGAGCCAAGTCAGCAAACGATAGAAAAGCTTTCAAGGTTGTAAGCACTTAGCAAGATCTCTTAACAGTATAGATTTCCCACCAGCGCACGTTCCATCGTATATATGTATACAAATGGATATACAAATTTTACTTCGTTACTTTGTTTTGTAACGATCTACCATTGCTTGTGGTTGTTTTTAAGAAAGAAAGACCCTTTATATTATCAAGTTTGAACACCATCTTAGAACTGATTTTGAAATTTTGATTTTTGGTTGTGTCGATAAGGTGATATTAGGGGCTCATATGGGTTGGGTTGGGCAGTTTGAGGTCATTTGAACAACCCAAACCAACTACTTCGGTTTGGAAAATTGTGACCCATTCAACCCTCTTTAAATTTATAACTCAACCCACCTCATTACATGTCGGTTTGGGTTGGGCGGTTTGACACGTACCTAACCCATAACTGACCCCATAGTCGTTAAAAGAGGCTCGTAAGGCTCAAGGTCTTGGGATTTTTTCAAGGCGAGGCTTAGCGTATTCGCGAGGCTCACTAAGGCACTGCGCCTTGGCTAAGGCTCCTTGTGGGCCTAGGTGCACCTCATAAAGAGTTACTAAATACCTAGTTAAACCCTAAGATTAAATAAGTTTTCTCATCTTCTCATCTCCTAGATTTCTTAAACAAAGTGTTATTGAATAGATGAAATAAGTCAAACCCTAATATTGAATACTAAGTCCTTAGAACTTCATGCCTCCTTCTCTATAAATACCCAGACCTTAAAACTTCTCCTTCACGGCTGACGCTTTAAACCCTTCTGACTCTATCGAAGTATTGTTGGTTGCTGCATTGGAGACTTATTGTGTCACTTGTGTGTAACTGTGTGTGTGTATATATATATATTGACAAGATGCGCCTCGCATTCCTAAGACCCGCGCCTCACGCCTAGTCCCCGGGACCCCGTTGCACCTAAGTGCGTCTTGAGCCTTTAACAACTTTGACTGACCCTACTCTCATTGGTTTGTACAATATATAAACCATCTAAACCTTGGGTTAGATTGGTTGGGCTAGTCGGTCTATTTTTCTGGTTCGTTTGGGCCAGTTTGACTTTTTGGTCGGTATTTTGTGCACCACTAGGTGATATGAACACCATCATGGGATTGTTGATGAAAATTTTTCTTACCTGCAGATCTACAACTGGATGAGTAACCGACCAGAAAGGTTTAGAATATCCTCGAGTGATGCTGCAATTCAACTAGATCTAGTTTCCAAAGTAGACGGTATTTCAGGTGCCGAAGATTACTTCCAAAACTTGCCGGATAATTTGATGGACAAACGAATATACGGGGCCCTCTTGAATGCTTACGTACGTGCTAGAATGGTAGAAAAGGCTGAAACTTTATTAGTCGAAATGAAAAAGAAAGACTATACTAGCCACGCACTTCCGTTTAATGTGATGATGACTCTTTATATGAACCTTAAAGATCAAGAAAAAGTGGAAGCCATAGTTTCGGAGATGATGAAAAAGAACATAGATTTAGATTTATATTCGTATAATATCTGGATATCTTCTCGTGGGTCTCAAGGATCTACCGAAAAGATGGAAGAAGTGTTTGAAAAACTGAAGCTTGATCCGTCGATTAATCCAAATTGGACTACTTATAGCACCATGGCTACTTTATATATCAAGAATCAAGAATTTGAGAAGGCCGAAGATTGTCTTAGAAAGATAGAAAGCCTAATCACGGGGCGTGATCGAATTCCTTATCATTATCTTCTAAGTCACTATGGTAGTATCGGAAAGAAAATAGAAGTTCAACGGATTTGGGAGACTTACAAAACAATCTTTCCGTATATACCAAATTTGGGTTATCATGCTGTGATCTCTTCGTTCATCAGGATGGACGATATCGAAGAAGCCGAGATTCTTTATGAAGAATGGGTCGCGATGAAATCATCATATGACCCCAGAATCGGAAATCTTTTATTAGGTTGGTACGTTAGAAAAGGGTTTACAGAAAAAGCCGAATCTTTTCTCAAAGAAATGTTGGAAGTTGGAAAACCGAACTCGAGCACATGGGAGATTGTTGCTGAAGGTCATATTAAAGAAAGTCGGGTTTCTGATGCCTTGTCGTGCTTCCAAAAAGCGCTATCCAATGAAGGATCGAGCTTCTGGCGACCGAAACCCGTCAATATTTCGGCTGTTCACAACATCTGTGAACAAGAAAACGACAAAAAAAGCAAGGAGGCTTTGTTTGAGGTTCTGAGACAAGCTGGTGTTCTTGAAGACAATGTTTATATGTCGCTTTTACCCTTTTCCAATGGATCAAACCCGAAAATAATTAAAGAAAGCGAGGTTGATGATGATGACGGAACTACTGATATGATCCTAAACGAACTGCAGGCTAGCGTTTAAGGACCGATCAACGATCGTAATCGGGGTTCTGTAGCCCTCAAGATCTCTTGAGGAAATTTTCTTGCCATAATTTGGTGGTGTTGAAGATTAATGCAGATTTTAACAATGGCCAAAGAGGGTAGAAGTGTTTTCCTGTTATGTAGTACAAGATTTTGCAGAGTTTTTATGATAAAGTTTGTTAATTTTAGCAAAGTTATCAACTGTTATTTGGTTCTTTTAGGCTTATTCTCTTTTTAGGTTTACCCAAACCAAACAAATCTGGTATATCCTGTTTTATATATATATATATATATATATATATATATATATATATATATATATATATATATAGACTTGGGATCATATGAGACCAAGATTTTTTTGTGAGACCCGTAAGACTAATTCTCAACCCTTGGATTAGATCTACAATCTCAATATTCATAATCACAAAATTGACACGAGATTTCTCAATAATTACAAAATTGTCACTGTGCAATTTTAGACCATTAGATCGTTAGCTTATAAAGTTGATCAATGAATATAAATTGGTCTCACGGGTCTCACGTGAACCCAACC